TTTTCATATCAAGAAGAAAAATCTTACCAGTCACCAGGGCCTCACACCTGTCATCCTACCTATTCAGGAGGCTGAGATCTGAAGATCCCGGTTCAAAGCCAGCCAGGGCAGAACAGTCTGGGAGACTCTTATCTCCAATAAACCACTCAAAAAAGGGAAGTGGTTCTGTCGTTCCAATGGTAGAGCGCTCACCTTGAGCACAAAGAGGCTCAGGGTCAGCACCCAGGCCCCGAGTTCAAGCCCCACAACTGACAAAAAGAGAGAGAGAGAACATTCTCTGATGACACAGCAGTGGCATGTGGAGCTGATGCCACACTCACATACAAGCTGGACATGATGACCACACTCACATACAAGGTGGACATGAGACCACACTCACATACAAGCTGGACATGATGACCACAGTCATACAAGCTGGACATGATGACCACACTCACATACAAGGTGGACATGATGACCACACTCACATACAAGCTGGACATGATGACCACACATACAAGGTGGACATAATGACCACACATACAAGGTGGACATGATGACCACACTCACAAGCTGGACATAATGACCACACTCACATACAAGGCAGGCCATGCTGACCACACTCACAAGGTAGACATGATGACCACATGCTCACCACAAGTCTCTCAGCCTCCCAAGAGCAGGGTCAGGGAACAGCAGACACTTGCCAGAAATTAATACACAGCACAAATCAGCTAGAAGGTGGGGGGCGGGGGGCGCGCACGTGCCCGTGCACCCACAGGCAACCAACATCCCTTCCAGACTGAGAGGGAGCTGACATGAACAAGCACCGGCGGGCACTGCTGCCCCCGGCCGAGGTGTGCCGGCCGGTATGCGGTGTGGGGCGTGGGGTGGCAGCACCCCCACTCCGGGAAGGGAGCAGCACAGGATGCACACAAGCATGCAGGAGGCACTGCACCCCCCCTTAGTGCCGGTCCTGGAGGCTAAGTGGAAGAGGACTTCCCACTGCGGTGCTGGCCTGTCTCCCCTTTAACAGTAAGCAGATATGCCATGCATCACCAGAGTAAAAAACAATGCAAGTATTGTTCATTTGGGAAACAGCATTGCAGAGAAATAGTTCAGAGCGTCTGAGGCCTTATTGGCAGCTAGTAGATAACTCATGTTTAGATGCACATGCGAATGTGTGCCTATGTCCATGTTCCTGCACACTTCTGTCCCTTCACACTAAGGTGCCTGCATCCTGTGTGCCTGTGTCCCTATGTCAGTGTGTCCCTGTGTCACTATGTACCCATGTCCCTGTGTACCTGTGTGCCTGTGTCCCTGTGTCCCTGTGTGCCTGTGTCCCTGTGTGCCTGTGTCCCTGTGTGCCTGTGTCCCTGTGTGCCTGTGTGCCTGTGTGCCTGTGTCCCTGTGTCCCTGTGTCCCTGTGTCCCTGTGTGCCTGTGTCCCTGTGTGCCTGTGTCCCTGTGTGCCTGTGTGCCCGTGTCCCTGTGTGCCCGCGTCCCTGTGTGCCTGTGTCCCTGTGTCCCTGTGTGCCTGTGTGCCTGTGTCCCTGTGTCCCTGTGTCCCTGTGTGCCTGTGTCCCTGTGTGCCTGTGTCCCTGTGTGCCCGTGTCCCTGTGTCCCTGTGTCCCTGTGTGCCTGTGTCCCTGTGTGCCCATGTCCCTGTGTGCCCGTGTCCCTGTGTGCCCACGTCCCTGTGTCCCTGTGTGCCCGCGTCCCTGTGTGCCTGTGTGCTGGGTCCTCTACCTGCCCTAGGCTTCGTGCCCTTGGCTGCCAATGCCTTCACCCTCTATGCTGTCACCGTCTGGCTCCTGGACCTGCCAGCCCGTCCCATCGTCAGGCCGAGGGTGGCACTGTCTCCCCCCTCCCCCAGACCTTCCAGGACAGGCCCCACCCGTGGCCATGGGGCCCTGCTGCAGTCGGGCTCAGCTCACTGTCCAGTGTTCGTGGTGAGATCAGGGGAACTGAGCATACATCATGCCCTCAGGACATGCCCAGCCCCCTGCAGATACCTAGCAAGCACTCTGGAAAACAATGTGCAGGAGGAGGACCGGGAGCTGGGTGGGCCCTGGTGTGAGAGCGAGGGGGCCTGTGGTGGCTCCTTCCCAGGCCGTGAGCCTCTACCCGCCCTTCCCACCCCTCCTCAGGCGCACACTCTGCCCAGGGCCGTAGGGCCAGGGAGGCAGACACAGGCCACTCAGCAGAGGAGGGCGCAGACTTAAGGAGGCGTGGTGGGCCACTTTATTGTGACGCGAGGCAGATGTGTGCTGTGCTGCACAAAGGCCTGGAGGGCAAAGACTTGCACATGGAGCATGGAGGGACCAGCCACCGAGGAGACGGATCCAGCCCTGGCCCTGCCCTCGGCCCACGGCCAGCTCCGCTTTCACCGCAACTCTTCCACCCTGGCGCGCTCATCCTCCAAGGGCAGAGCTAAGTGAGAAGAGCCACCAGGGAGGGCCTCGCCATCTGGGGGAGGGCATGGCTGTCAGGGGGAGGGCATGACCTTCAGGGGGAGGACATGGCTGTCCAGGGGTGGGCATGGCCATCTGGCCTGAGCAGACACAGGGCTGGGGGCAGGGCATGACCATCTGGGGAGGACATGGCCGTCCAGGGGAGGGCAGCACTGTCTGCCTGAGGCACAGGGCTGGGGGCAGGGCATGGTTGCCTCCCTTACGGGCAGGTGCGGTCTGGATTACCCCTGGGAGACCTGGCCTTGCCACCTGAACAAAGTCCTGCTCTCTAGGGGACTCACGAGGTGCACCTGGACGAGCTGAGCACTAAGCAGCCCTCCCTGGTGCTGGGCTGCACGCCCGCCCAGCCCCTGTGGCATCTGTGGTAAGCCTTCCAAACAGCTGCTCGAGCCTGCAGCCCCAGGGCACAGAGCACAGGGCGGGAAGCACCGCTCCGGTGCCCGGCATCACAGCGGGCTCAAGGGCCACAGGGCACAGCTTCTGGCCTGCCCATGGATGGAGTGAGGCAGCTTTAGCCCTGTGCAAAGGGACGGCTCTGAGGAAGGGCCGCGGCCCCCACCCCTCCCTGCGCCCCAAAGCCACACTCCAGGACCATGGCTGCACCAGCTGGCTGCCAAGGCCCAGGCCCTCCGCTGCTCCTTGGGGCCCTGGAGGGGAGGCACAGGGAAAGCAGGCTTTTTCTAGAAGCAGAAACCTGAGGACACCCACATGGTCACAGAGGCTAGGAGGGAACCTTCCAGAAGGAAGTTCCTGTGATGCACAGAAACCAAAGTCCAGAAAACACCCGGCCTGTCCACAGCAGACCCCACCAGGCATCCCTGTCCCAGCACTGCCAGGGTGGCCACGCATGGAACTGGCGTTGCACAGGTGAGGAGGGCCTGTGGCTCCTGGCCTCCCACGGCTCCCAAAGCCCAGCACCACCTCGCCCACCTGGGGACTCTGGATGCCTCAGTCCCCCCCACCA